CCTCATAAATACAGTATGCATGTTTGTCCAGTATGTACATGTATGTAAAAACAAGAATCTTAAAAGAAAATGAATATATACCTGATCAATCCATCAATAATATATATCCATCCATGTCTATGGGATCTGTTTTCAATTAAAACTTTAATAAATATGCTTTTTCCAGTCTTGAATATCAAAGCGGTCTTCACTAGAATATGTAAATTAAGTCTGTCTTCATCATCTTTTATATTCAAGCCTATGATCGGATTCAATATCAAATTCTATAAGAAGGCTTCACATCAATTCATTGAAAAATGACATATTCCAATACCTAAATCATATAATATTTCCTTAACGTAAAAGCCATTGTACATCACTATTATGACAGTAACATACATCAGCAACATAAAAGAGGGTATCTCCCATAATTCCTCAAAAAGTTCACATGAATCCTCAGAGGAGGTACTTAGCACATAGATGTATGTATAACGTCATCTTCATTCTTAGGAATAAAGTCTGAGTGATCAAATGACACAAAATTATATATCCAATTATTTACTCAGACTACATGTAAATGAATGCAGACATATCGTTAATTCCTGTATAATGTCAATGGCCGAGTTAATCATTATTAACTGCTCAAATGCACATTTGTAAGAATTGCTTCATTTACTCCACAGTCTGTATAATGGTAAAGATAATCAATGGGTTTCTGACATATGTGTTGTATTGTTGTATATATGAGTACCTTGTAACCTATAGATACAAATGAGGTTGCAATACAATACAGTTTAAATTAGACGGGCTTTATTGTACATCAATTAAATGGACTTTATTGTAAATGTCTAAAAATCCATTGGAATACTTTCTCCAAAATCAATATGTCCATGGAAAAAATAATTACAAGGAAAACTCACTTAAGTGATTGTATTTTGAGAAATTACTGGCAATATCCATTTAGAATGAAACTTCACAGGCATGTAATGAGTGAATGATTATGCCAGGTACTGTAAACAATTCTTAACCTTATAGAAGCCTTAGTAGTAATTCCATCAACACTACAGAAGTTCAAACTGTTGATAATAATTATAGTAAAACCTGTCTAAGTGGAACACATTTGGTACTTCTAAAAAGTGCTCATTTGGGACTTATACACAGGCAGGTATCCCAAAATTTTTTCCGCCGTGACGGAACATGCTATTTTTCATAAAAACACTAAAGAAACTTCGAAATTTATTTTTTAACTTTTATATTTCGTTATACTGTGTTATAAAGCTTCATTTAACAATAAGTCAGTTGATTCTGGTACTCTGAACAGTATTTCACTAACAGATGGGTTCTATTTCTAGAGATTTATTTCTTACGGATTTCACTACTTTAACAGAACGTGTATGTAATATTATGACATTGGTACTGTTTTAAATCTCTTTACTTGAACTTTGAACTTTGTCAATAAATATTTGTGTTTTATTTCTTTACTTGAAGATTCATGGCTTACTCTAAAGTGTTTCTTTTGTCCCATCAACTAGTACTTGAACTCTTATGGACTGCTCTATTGAATGTTAGATAAAAATTTTATGACATTTTCTGTGTTCTAAAATATGGTTTGATAGAAAAAGATACTAGGAGGAAAATAGGGTACATCAGAAAAAGCATTTCTGGTCACAGGGAGATATATTGGCTTCCGAACAATCAGATATTACTGACTTAATTTAGATAGGTCAATTTTCAAAGCAAGCCTTGGAGAGCAGAATTTGGGTAAATCAGAAACGTTTTCAACATAATAAATGCATCTAAGCTAATAAAAGACCAAATCAATAATATCTATGCCCAAGGATAAAGTATCATAGGACCTTGTTTTAGATAAGGGAGTCGAACCATCACATCCTATCAAAGAATTTGTTAATTCAATTCACTCAGGCCATCCCCCTAAAAAATAGAACCCAACATTGAATTCCCAGAATGGCACATGAAGCCTTGACACTGGACAAAGTCCAGTCTATAAACGGTCGCAGTTTTTTCAAAGTATGTACAAATTGGCACAGACACATAAAGGATCAATGCCACATTGATCTTCTCAATGCCATTTTCTGGAGTCAAATAGCCTTAATTTCACCAAGCGAGAGTAACTTGTTTGAACAGTGATGGTATCCCTTAGGAAGTGAGGCAGACAAGCTTACTTCAAGGATGTCCAGTTCTATTACACATAAATTTCTCAAACTGTCGTCTTAATTCAAAATAGTTTGAAAATAAGTTAAAGTATGAAGAAAACAATCAAAATTATGAAAATACCAGAATATCAAATATTAGAAAGAAATCAGGCAAAATAAGTAAGACTAGTGAGATTTTAGATGTACATCTAGAAACATCATTATTAGTTATAATTACATTTGGGGAGGAGGTTAAAGACATTAATGTTTGGATATTGAAAACATCAATTTGATAAAAATTCAATTACATTTTTTTGGGAGGAGGGAGAGGGTCAATCTCAAGTATTTAGTTAATTGTTTTTTGAACACATTGAAATAGGCTGAATCCCAAGAGAGTGACATTTCAAGATTGATTTCTTGTTGAAATGCTCAGCATCATAGGTGAAAGGAAACATCTTATTTAAGCGAATCTAGCAATATAATCGAGGAACAAATTGATTTCTTGATTACACATATTCAGCTCTAGCCTAAATAGTGAAGAAATTTGTATATTTGTATTCAAGCAAGTGTTCATTTGATCAGTAAATGATTAACACATCATTTCAATTTCATTCATTTAAGCAAGCCAGTTGAATACAATCAAGAATTCTATTTTTCTCACCTAAATGTAGACCAGAAAAGTTGCTGTTTCCAAAATCTCCTTTTAAAGCTACAGTTTATTTTCATTTTTCAAGGGGAAAAGTTGAAAGACATGTGGTTGTCACAATGAAACCAATTATCAAATCATTGGTCTTACATACTTATGATAATATTTATAAATATGAAACTATATTTTTAAAATAGCTGTTCCTTTTTGGTTATAAATCCACAATAAATTATGGTAGTAATACTTTAAACTGAATGGAAAACAGTTTCTAGTTCAATTGATATAAAGCAGCAGCTTATACAAAACCAAATTGTTATAGAAGCTATAGAGTTATATACAGATTGACTCAAATTAATCAAAACTGTGATACGATGAATCTAATCTAATCTAATATTTACAAAAAATCTATTCTGTGTATTCTCTAATCAAATAACTATGTTAAAACCCTGTAAAAGCTCTATTAACTGACATGTTCCAGTTTTTCTAGTGGAAACACTTTGCTTTATGATTAAACAGACTTCTTAGATGCCCTATTTCCCATGAATTGATAAGATTAATATTTCTACACTACTTAAATTGAAGTTTCAGGGTTATATCCAGATTTTTATGAAAAGCAAAACATTGAGAAGATTTTACTTGCACTTTTAGCCTGTAAACAACATTTTGTTATGTTTCAAACCAAATATTTGGCTTCCCCACAAAATCAATTACAAAGCATTTACATTATAATTATACATTTATACAGTAAAATGCAAATGCTTAAGGACATCAAAACCTATTCTGCTCTCAGCCAAAATAATGCATATGTTTTGATAAGGTAAATGCAAATGCAGTGAGATAGGAAAGAAGAGCTTTTTGGTAGAATGAATGGACATAAAGGGGTTGCATTTAAATTTCATGTGCAAAATTATTGAATAATAGTAGATGGGATAGAGTTTATATTATAGAAATTCCAATATGCTTGAGGTGACATCTATAAATATTATACAAATATTTCATTCTATCGAAAACAGCCAGAGTGACTGCCTTTTTATGGCTTTTATGGAAGTATAAACATTTGCTATATAAAATTGATCTCAGCAGACAAGCAAATTTATATATTATTATCCTATTTATATTATATTATATTAAATGGAATCATATATTTTAGAGTAAGGTACGCTATAAAGTTTTTGTGAAACATCCGAGTAAAAACAAGTTGTGAGATTTTCAAGCATTTTTACCCAAAAATAGTGTGATTTCCCATAGCCAACGATCCCATTATGATAATACTGTATGCTTTGAAACTAACAACAATCCATAAAATGAGAAGTACAAGTACTCATAATGTGTCTATTGCCAATATGGCAGCTCATTTTATAAAAACTCAAAGTTTTAAAGCATTTCTAGCTTAAATCATATCAAAATCAATTTAAACAAACTTCCACCTATAATGTAAGAAGATAGAAAGCCGTTTTTCAAATAAAAACACTTAACTTTACAAAATCTAGTGATATCTAGTGGATTCACAGGCGAATTCCTTGTGTTTACGCATAAAAAAGTATTTATTCAAATTTTTTTGAAAATGCCACCCCCTTTAATGGCTATCTCCATATAGCCATTATATGGAAGTAAATCACCAGATTCAATTTTCACAAATGTTCTGTAATTTATCATATTGAAACTTCCGGAACTTACTAGGAAATCATTCATTTTCACGATCCATAATTTACCTCTTGGATATTGTGCTAAATGCTCTATAGTTGACGCAACAAAGGTGATAGGGTTTCATTGAAATGTGTGTTCTAACCTCTAAAGGGTAAGTAAGACTCCTAATCTTCAGGTAAATCTTATTTTTCAAGTTCTACCGACGAAGTCAGGCCATGAAATCTACTCTAGTTTTTGAAAAATCCTATAACTGGGTATTGTTTTTTGGAAAAATCGCCGGAAGTGGGTCTTGTTTTTTAAAAATTACCTTGAAGTGGGTCTATTTTTGAGAGAAAACCCCCCGGGGAAAAACCCTGGGTCCATTTTTAGTGAAAAAAACCATTAGATGTGGGTAGATATTTTGAGTCTCAGCGGCACCCCCTTGTACAAAAATTTGACCAGTACCGCCCGTCCCCAGGTGTATATTACAGGTTATTCCCCTTCCCTGAAAAAATCATGAATCATTCAAAAATTAACTTTTTGAAATCTTTCTTTTTTGGCACTTTTCGTTTAGAAAAATATCTATTTGTACTTACCATGATAATCAAAGTTGTTATCTCCAGGAACTGATGGGGTTCTTTTGCTATTATTTAGTGTAATATTCGCATAAATCGATGAAACATTGGCGAGTAAGTGTTTGTGTAATTTGTTACCCGATAAGAACAGCCAAACGAACAAAAAGTTTATCTTGGCTAAAGCGACTTACAAAGAAGTTTTGATCAGTCACGAAATTCGTCTCAATCAAAATTGTTAAAGACGATTTTAATCAGAAATCTGAAAGGCCCACACTAAAGAATCAACTCTTGAGAAAAGTGTACAGAAAATATCAATCTCAGAATAACTCTTCAGCAGTGCAGTTGTTTTATGCTAGTCTCAGATGACAGTCATCATCAGATCATTGATCATCAGGTTACACGATACAATCATTTGCTGATTATTACATCGGTGATTAGTATGAATAGTAAAAGATAAAAACAATGTTAAAATCAATTTAAAAACAGCGCTACACAATAGCAAGAATTAAGTAATGGTATAGAGTATAGTGCTAGTAACTAATCAGGGTCTGAAAGCCATCTAATGTCTCAATATCACTTTTGAGTCTGGAAGAATACTCCATGTTTTCCCTAATTGTGTTTGGGAAAGGCTGTTATGTATCTTTGGTGTATCAGTAGTGGACGAAGGCCTGGCTTTTAGCTCAGTGTAATCATCTGGGTCAATAAATTGCTTCAATAGAAATATTGGTATTGTAAAACTTGCTGACATCTACAGATCCATTCATTTCATACAGGGTATCCATAAAGTTTTTCAACACTAATCCACAATAGTGGGACCAGGGCCATTGAAATCCTGGGATTAAAATAATTGCATCCAAAACAAAAGTTTCATGTTTAAAGGTAGCAAAATTGAAAAATTTGACTTCATATTAAAATTTTTGAATGATTTTTTTCACTATAATGAAAAATTTAAATGGGGGCATTTTCATTTTTCTACTTCAAATGAAAAAGGTTTCTACTTTCGACCCGTGACTTTCGATAAATACATTATAAAGCTTATAGCATCTTAAATATTTTGAAATGAAGGAATAAAATATAGTTTTTGTTTTATTTATTTATTATATATTTCAATAATAATGATAAAACTCTACACAAACATATAATAATATAAAGTTATTTAAAAATATAAAAATACATTTAATCTGTAGTCAGTGACATGATGTTACAAGAAATGAGAGTTTAAATAAGACATTGAACATGCAAAAATATCATCTCATGTAGTTACAAATGTAACAATTGTTACAAAATGATGACAATTACAACGTCTGTCACAAAAACTGGTGGCTTTAACAATTTGCTATCATATTATATGTATATTGCAGTCAAATAAAACAGCTATAATTTTGTCATATAAAACTCAGAGTGTCCCTTCATCTATAATATATAGGAGCATGTCAAGAGGCCCAGTATATTAACTGAAACCTGTAAAGTGGAACAACTCTGGAAGTAGAACACCTCTCTTATTGGAACTATTGGAAGTCGCAACACCAACTGACTTATGCTAAATGAACCTCAATAAGTGGAACACCTCCTAAGTGGTACACTTTTTAGAGGAACCACCAAAGTTGTTCCACTTAGACAGGTTTTAATGTCTTAAATGCTGAACTCTTTATTTTGATGTACATGTTCCTTAAAGTGGTTGAATGCACAGATGTCACAGATATGTATCACACCAATACTGTATGCATACAAATGTGTCCTGAAGGAGCAGCGTCTTAGCCAGCTAAGGTGCATTATAAATGTCCCATCCTTCAAAAGGTACAGTATATAAAAATTGTGATTTGGTCTAAAATTCAATTTTGACTAGTAGATCTTTAGTCCTTGACATGCACTGCTCTCCTTATATCTGGTGTCATGATGTTGAAGAGAGAATCATGTCAGAGGCTTTCTCAGCTATCATTGTCACTGCTGCATTTGTATTACCCGAGATGATCTTGGGCATTATTGAAGCATCAGCCACACGTAAACCGATAACACCCTTAACTCTGAAAAACACAGTCAACCAATAAATGTATATACCCTGTATACACGTTCCAAGGCATTTTCGGAATAAAAATAAAATAACATGGTACATGACATGAACGAAATCTTAACACAAAAAAGGCAATAGGTATGAAAAACTTCTAAAATGGCTAGATTGATTTCTTGATAAATAGTGCAGTGCATGAATATACATACCTGAGCTGTGGATCCAACACTGCAGTAGGGTCATCCCTGTGTCCCATCTTACATGTTCCTACAGGGTGGTACACAGTCAGTGTCTGCTGTCTTACATAACATTCCCAGTATGCTCTAGAGCCATACAATATACCTACAAATACCTACTGTATTTAAAGGGGAAATCAGACAGAGAGCATATTTTCAAATTAATGTTCGGTCTCTGGGCTGAAAACTCTACATACATTGCGTTTAGATATTATATTAGGAATCACAAATGTTCTTCACAAATCAACAAAAATATAACATTTTACTTCAAATATTTTCATCACATTGGAGCAAACGTCATAAGACAAAATAAAGTAAACCGTGTTGTTTATATGAGATATTCTTTGAAATCTATTTTATTTAGGATAGATCATGTTAGATTTGTAAATATGTGAGATGCTTGTTTTACAACAATAGTGAATGAATATGTTTTGCATACCCTCACATCCCGGAATGGTCCTTTGTACCAGCTTGGCTCCAATCTCTTCAAATGCACTTGTCTTCTCTAACTTCATTGCATTCTCAATACCTAATAAAGAAACAGAATCTTATCAACAGCCTTATTTGTCTGAAAGTCCACACAATGCAAACATACATATTCAACTTAACATTTCCATTGAATATCTAACATTGTTATTATGATCGATAGCATTATGTGGTCATCGATTTTCTATCATTGGGGAAATCCAAACTTTTGTGCAAAATTCATGTTTGTTTTTACCTTAGTGCTAGGCCTAAATGAAAAATTTATTTGGTAATTATTTTTAGCCCCTATGGAATTTTGATGGAAGGTTTCAAGCAGAAAATTTATCATCGATTTTATCATGAGCATTCAACTTGATAATGTGGCTAACTTTGATAAATATTTATGTTCCACAACTCAATGTATCTTTCTTAGCATAGATTTGAAACGGAACTGTAAATAAAACTACACTAATCAAGTTCTCATTTACAAATCTGTAGACCTACCATCTATGAGTGTCTCAATATCTTCTTGATGGGATAGATACTGTGGATCTATGATGGGATGCTCTAAGGGGTCTATAGACTTAAGGCGGATTCTACCATGGCTCTTAGGGTGAAGTAAGATTGTTAATATCTGTAGCCCTCTTTTTCCAGCATTTGCTCCATAAAGACTGTTATAAACCTGAAAAAATCAATGATTATTGATTATTACATAGAGTGTGAAATAAGTCCCGGGCATTTCATAATATGAGCTGAATATTTGGTTTTTGTTAATGATGAAATTTAATTCAAACAAAGGCATTAACATGCAAATTGTCACCACCTGCAATTTGATACAGATGAGACGCTGACCACCAGCCGCCAAATGCTGTCCACAGAAAAGTTAGAGACTATAGCAATATGTCATCACTTTTGTTGGTGACATAAAAATGTAACCATTTGTTATATATGCAGAATTCCAACATAGAATTTAAAACAGAAAAACAAAGGTGGCTAAAACATGGAGAGGTGACATAAAAATCGTGAAATCACAATTGTGGCTAAAACATGGAGAGGTGACATAAAAATCGTGACATCTCATTCAAACACTGCAGTCACCATTTGCTTTAAAAAACATACCTCTGATTTCATATTGGATATCTCCAAATAATTGTTTTTTATCAATGGTTCCCCGCCAAATAGGACAGATGCAGCAAAGTATTGCACATCTGGTTGTTTGTTTCCCAAATATGGTTGCTTGTTTTCTGTATTTGATTGTTTGATATCTTTGGAATGTTGTTTGCTTTCTGCATTTGTTTGTTTGTTTTCTGAACCTGATTGTTTGTTTTCTACATCTGATTGTTTGTTTTCTACATTGGCTTGTTTGTTTTCTTCATATGCTTGTTTGGTTTCTATGTCATGTTCTATGTTAGATGGATTATGCATAGTTGAAAGTTTGGTATTGATGAGGCCTGTGGCAGCCAACATAACGGGAGAGGCCAAATAACCTGAAATGTACAAATGCATATATAAAATATAAAATAGGTTACTGGGTTGGATTGAATATAGGGTTTATTCTGAGGGGCAATATGATATTGACCAAAGGGTAATATGATATTGACTTGACATCAATTAATATAGGTTACTGAGTTGGATTGAATATGGGTTTATTCTGAGGGGCAATATGATATTGATCAAAGAGTAATATGATATTGACTTGACATCAATTAATATAGGTTACTGAGTTGGATTGAATATGGGTTTATTCTGAGGGGCAATATGATATTGATCAAAGAGTAATATGATATTGACTTGACATCAATTAATATAGGTTACTGAGTTGGATTGAATATGGGTTTATTCTGAGGGGCAATATGATATTGATCAAAGAGTAATATGATATTGACTTGACATCAATTAATATAGGTTACTGGGTTGGATTGAATATGGGTTTATTCTGAGGGACAATACGATATTGATCAAAGAGTAAAATGATGGAGTGTAGCGACTTTGTGTCAATATCAAGATCAATATCAAGGTCAATATCATATTGTCTGAGGATAAACCGTTTCTTTTTTCTATGAAATAATCTTTAAAAAGCCAATAAATATCGAGAAGACATAAATATGGCAACCCAGCATTCACATGACAAAATGTCACCCCCAGCTGCAATTACAAAATGTAACAATTCGTTACAAATGCTGAACCATAATGAGGAAAATGCCACAGAATGACAGTAACAAAAAACAATGGCTCTAACAATACATGTTGATGATGACAACAAATGAGGGAAACAGTGGATAGAGGAGGAGAGGAAGAAGGGAAAGTGAAATTGAGCTACATATAGAGGGATGAGATAAACAGGAGTTCAATCATGGAATCTTACCTAGTCCATGGTAGAAATACTGCAATAACATTGAGAAGCTGATGATTTCAGATGTTGTTGGTACCAATGGGGACTCTGTCTCAAATGATGGCGCATCTGTCATGACATGATCTTGGAGGTTATCACCCACTGGTAGGTCAGCAACCACAGGAATCTATAAAACAACCAATGATATTACACAGTGGGGGGGGGGGTCTCAAAGGATGGCGCATCTGTCATTACATGATCTTGGAGGTTATCACCCATTGGTAGGTCAGCAACCACAGGAATCTATAAAACAACCAATGATATTACACAGTGGGGGGGGGTCTCAAAGGATGGCGCATCTGTCATTACATGATCTTGGAGGTTATCACCCATTGGTAGGTTAGCAACCACAGGAATCTGTAAAACAACCAATGATAGTAACTACTGGTAGCTGACCTGTCATTATTACATGAGCTTATACTATGTATATGTGATCAGATATTCACTAATGGGTTGGATATAAGAATGCCCTAATGAAGCTAATACATATTGAGGTTATTTATAGATACATACATGTAAGGTACATAATGTCCCCAAAATGAGAGATGAATAAAAGGGTTGTAAAAAATTATTCACAAAAATTCCCAATAGACCCCCAATACATTGAGTTCTCAGTTACTATATATAGAGATTTATGTTACCTGCAAGTCTTGCAAGTGAGACTTTGGGCCTATCCCAGAAAGCATCAGCAAGTGAGGGCTTCCGATTGTCCCAGCAGACACTATGACTTCTTTTTTTACAGACACTGTGTTACGAGGTTTGTCCTTATGGATATATTCTATACCAACTGCTCTTTTATCTTCAAATAAGACCTAAATAAAACTAAAAGATCACATCACAGTTTTTCTACACAATCTAGATGTACCAAATATGCAGTTTGTTTATCTTTGATTAAATGCAGGCCCGTAGCGGGGGGGGGGGGGGGGGGGAGGGGGGGGTCAATGGAACCATAATGGGAACCCCCCCCTGGACAAAAAATCTTTCAAAATCAAGCAGTTTTTCACCATTCTGAGCATTTTAAGTGATTTTGGCCATTTTTGGACCAAAATTGTCACAAGTGAACCCTCCCTGGAATTTTTCAAAAAGTGAACCCCCTTTGGCAAATCCTGGCTACGGGCCTGAAATGTTTTAATGCATAAATGAAAAAAAATCAGAAAAGGCAATGTTGCAATATCTCCCAGTGGAAGACTTAACCTTCAAAAAACACTTCATATGAAATGTTTGTACTTATAGTAAGAATCTACAAAAACTTAATATGTATGTATAACCATTTGCACATTTTACCTTAGAGACATGCACGCCCAGCATAACATGTAAATTGGGTCTGTCTAGCACAGGTGTGAGGTAAGCATCAGCCATCGTTTGCCTCAGACCCTTATTAGATTGACTTTGAACACGCATGAACCCTAAAATAATGAAAAATACATACAGATTGTGACATACTTTATTCTATAAAGAAATACAGTGAAATCTGCACAGCTTGTATATATCCAAACATCTCTGTAATGTGAACACCTTTTCTTCGTTCCAAATGTGTTATCTCCCATTGACTAATATATTTATAAATCTTGAAATGTGAACACCTGCTAATCTGAACACTTTTGGCTGGTTGCAGTGGTGTTGGTATTGGACAGGTTTTGCTGTAGTGATACGGTATGTGGAATATGCTACTGGATCCTGTGATCAAAAATTGCTGATGTTCTTCCATTTTTATGATGAAAATAATTTGAAATTGATAGGACGATTAATACACTTGAGCATCATACCATAGTCTGTTTCACCATTTAAGTCCCCCTCTTTATATCCTAGTTGTTTTGCTGCCTCAATGATGATGTTAGGGGCCTCTCCATATGTATCATCACTGACTGTAACTGGACCCTCATGACCATGGTACTCTGAAATATTCATAATTTATTTTCTTTTATTTTCATTTTGAGATCTGTCTCAAGCAAAGCTCATGTTACAGATTAGGTTCACAGGGAAGCTTTTAATTACTGACTTTTTCAAGAACCTGATATGCAAAATGTATACGGGAATACTTACGTGATTTTAATAATTCTTTGATTTGCACACTTTCTGATCGCAGAAAATAAGGTAACACATTAGCATAGCTCCACCCACTGCACCCAAGCTCCTCCCATTGGTTGTAGTCATGGCGACTGCCACGTGAGTACATCATGTAGTTTATACTACTTGTTCCACCTAAGCCTTTTCCTCTCGCCCAGAAGCTCACCTTACGAAGAAAATATCAAATTATGCATTCAAAGGGTTCAGTACCTGTATTTGCAACACACAAATAACATGGTTTATTATCTGAAAAAGTCTCTATTGTGATGTTGGTATCCCCACATCCATTAATATGCGAGTCATATTTGAATTCAAACATGGAGTAAAATGACAAAAATAAGCAATAATCAAAGATAGTTTGAGTTCTAGGTAGGAGTAAAAATGTCAACATAAACTCTTTACAGATGGGTCAGAAATATCTAGTTTCTGGCCCAAAATCCCTAAAGATACATATCATGGGTTCAGTCATAAATTAAATTATGGGACATTTTGATTGGGACTTTTTTGCACAAAATGACACTTGTTCTTGTAATTTCAAGAACACATTGCACTCATTACCTCTTGCTAAGTTAGCCATATAACAATGATACATGTGTGCAACAAATATAATATGATTGGTGTGTTGTTTAGTTTACGCAGGTATCTTGTAATAATAAATCGTGGGAATTACATAAATCTATATGATAAGTGTGAGCATGCAATTACCTATTCCAAATTACTTGTTAGACTTGTGTTATATAATTTCAGCTATCAAGTTTGAGATTTTTACAATGTGCTTGATATATACAGTCTGTCGTATGATGGAAGGGGTTTTAGATTGATTGTGAAATTCACTCAATACAAATAGACTGTCTATTCTGCAATACGATGTAATATATTATACAGTATAGAAGAGTTCCCTCTGTATAGCCACATATACAGGAATCAAATTTAAATCAACTAATCAAGCACATTTCATTCCTGTATCGTATCTGTAGGATATGTCAATTATAGATACAAATGTCTATTAATATCCCAAAGTAATAAATGAACACAACTTTTATATTCTGTATTCAATCTATATTTCAAAACGAGGCTGATAGTAGTGACACCTATTGACAGCAATTATTGGTTGTGCAAACACAATGGAACAATCACTTAAATCAATCAAATATACAACAGTATCTCACTTTTTGACAGTAAAAAATCTGAATTGTTGATATTTGATGAGTAATTGGACTGATGCTTATAAGCCTACATCAATTCATCTTCCTCAAATATACCTGTGGTAATTACCTTTATAACAACAACTTGTACTCACATTATTATTGCTTCCCACGCAGGCATGTTTCTGTGGTACAGTCTCATACTTCCAGTCAAATGAACCCCTCTGTAATGTTATAGCTGCCACTGGGAACTGGATGGCCCATCTGTTCAAGAAGCTGGTCTCCTCCCCAGCCTCAAGGAGAAGGACAGAGACATTTGGGTCTGCAGACAGCCTATTTGCTAACACACAGCCAGCAGTTCCTGCCCCAACTAAAAATATAATAAAGGCATTAACATGTAAAATGTTACCACCTGCCATTTGTTACAGACATCAACCACTGAACACCGAACATCAACTGCCAAATGCCAAACATTAACATCATCCACAGGAAAATCAGAGACTATAACAATATGTCACCACTTCTGGTGTTGAGATAATTAAAGTCCATGGTAATAGAATTTGAAAAATGACACAGGCTCTATGGGGAATCTTAGTGACCATCACCTTATATAAAAATAATCTAGTTGGTTTCCCTAATTGTACATTGTGGCTGATTCCTCTCTTACCCTCTTTATTAACTCTAAAACATGACCATACATTGAAATGATGGTTTCCATGTACATGTATTGGAATGTGCTTCTCTTTTTAACAATGCCCTTTGTCCTGATTTTTTCAAGAGGATCTGGTTAACCACCAGATTGTGTTATTTCTGTTTCACCAAGGTCATAGATAAATCATAGACAAATAATGACAATTTGGCCTAAGCAATTCCATCAAAATTAGATCTATTCAACTCAACAATATGACAATGAAACATCAACATTCCTGATAACCACATTACCAGTACCAGAAGATATTCAGTTAACTATTTGCTTATACATGTACCTTCATACTGAAACAGGCAAATGAAGGCCAAAAAGAGGAAAAATAGTCCTCAGGAGATCTTAATTTTACATATTTATTAACTAAAACCACTCAAATATCTGTGATGAGCAGCTGACAATTACCTACATGGATGACATTGCCTCCCTTTACTTCAATTCTTGACTTCTGAGACATGGCTTGTTTTAAAAGCGTAGCAGTTATGACTATTCTGGTTGAGGGTCAAAGAATTATATACATGATACATGATGATGCTTGGAGATCAACTCCATGTATACAATGTAAATGTGAAAACTGATGGCCAAATTGAATTTGTCAGAGAATCTATTATAGAGAATCTATTATATCTGATACTATCCAAGGTTTCAAATCATAATTTGATGATGACAATGAACTAAAAAAAACTCATTGACATTTTAAAGATGATTTTACAAATTAATATAATGTCTGCAAATGTGCCAATAATTTCATATATCAGCTTTGTCTAAACTATTCAAATCAGAATTTTGATCTATATTCAAACCACAATTTCATGTCGGCAAATCATGACAACACATTTTCTGTCTTTAAATGGCATTCAAGCTATGATGATCTTATGAGTATAAAAACTAATATTATCTTTAATAGTCAGAGGCTAGTGTTGCCAATATATTATTATACACTCTCCTATTTCAAGTTTATTGTTGTTGTCACATTATCAATATAAAAAATTATACAAGTATAAAAATGGTCACCATGCCAACTGTATAGCGTTATTTCACAATTATATATACACCAGTATATATTCATCATAAAATAAGAACCAAACTGTTATAAACAATATATTACACATTATTACTTTTCTGAAATAAAGATGAGCTTTATAACACTTCACACAATCATTAATTCATGTGATACTTATTTATCATATCGAAGCCCCTAAAGTTTCAACATCACTAGTCTTACATCAAGTCTCTAACCACCCCCTCCCCATCTTCCTCACCTTGGAGGTGACTTGTTTAGGGAAGGTGAGGCCTAAGGGCTTGACGCAAGAGCGATATTGATTATGAAAATCATGTACATGCTATCAATAAAAATGACATAACTGCTAAATATTTGTTAATTTACTAAAAATTAACTCACCTATAATGTAATCATAATTTCGATACAGGGTTTCTCTAAAGCTTGATTTACGAGATGTACCCCACCACCAAGCAAACCCAAGTACAAGACCAGTTACCACCAAAAATGCCCTTGTTGTCGCCATTCTTCAACTCCAACCATTTGCGTCAACCTCAACATAAGCAATGAGGGAACACTACATGATAAGCACTAACCACAGGTTACTCTTGCAAAAAATTACCCAACCACAAAAACAAACCATTGTTTGAAATTACAAAAAATTAAAATCAACAATTATCTTACAAATAGGCAAGGAATTCTATTTCCTATGGAATAATATTTAATTTTTTTGGGTAAGGATTCAGATGATTAATTTGCTTGAAGGATCAACCTGATTACCAACCTATAAATTAACTAAGTACTGAAGTCTTATTAATATTGCCACAAGGTTGAAATCGTTGATTGGTTTCATTCTATATGTTGACGAAAAGCACGTTGCTTAAAGCATGATACCATTTACCAAGATGTGAAGGAGAAATGATGTTTTTAATTCCAAGCAGACAAAAACATTTAGGAAATTGTGACTGAGGGCATCCTTTCTTCATTTCTTAACTGCGTCATGTATTATCATTTTCATGTAAGATTAAAGAAAATATCTCAAGTTTTAACAAAATAAGTGTTAAACATATATCAAAAATACTTAGAATATTAATATTATAGTAAGATTTCTTAACTGAATGTTTAATAAAAATAAGGCTCCATAGTTCTGTAGTTCATAAATGTTAGTTTATTAGATGGGCAATGATGTCTGTTTGGCATCTGTAATCTTGTTTTCAAATGCTTGCCAAATCTGGGGAAGAAATAATAAACATTTGTGTCTAGTTGACAAACATAATGCCAAAGTAATATAAAAAGCCGTTGTTATGGTTAAAATTACATTTTTAACCGTTTTATTCATCTATGCAATATGAGTTTGCAATGACATATCAGACTCAAATAATATTAATTATCAGATATCTAGCCAAAAACTCATATCACTATATTTTATATTATACTGTATATGCTGTAATTCATAATATATGAGTACATGGTTCAAATCTCTAAGAATACTGTAATCATAAGTATTTCATACTTGAGTGGGTTTGGGGTAGATATCACCCGGGAATATATATCATATCTGAGGAGCGGGCAGGATATATTGTATATGTCCCGCTCTAGGCCAAATGCGGGCAGATATAATATATCCATCCCGCTCCCGGGAATTTTTTCAACAGTTTAAAAAAAATTTAAAATTTAAATTTCAGAAGTTTAAAATTTTTCAAAAAGTTTAAATGTTACAATTCTATTGTATTAAACTGAAGGAATATTAAGAAAATGTTAATTATAAATTGTGCTTTTACAGTAAAGGCCTATCTTGTCATTTGAAAAAGGTGGTAAAGGTTATATCTACCCCAAACCCACTCAAGTATGAGATACACCAGTTATGTACGGTCGGTTTTGGATACAGAGTTTATCCCGTGGGAAATATGTGTATCTCCCTCGGTCCCTGCGGTCCCTCGTGAGATACACATATTTCCCTTGGGATAAAGCCTGTATCCAAAACCTCCCAGTACATAACCCTTATATACATCCCACTAATATATAGCATACTGAAGACTCTTAAAGGGACAACGTGCGTAAATGAAGTATCACTTTTGATCTTCATAGTATTTCCAATGGATGAATAAGTACCTGATCTTTCATTTGACATCAGAAACAGCTCAAACAGCATAGTATTTCCAATGGATAAATAAGTACATGATCTTTCATTTCATATTTGATCTATCAATTTATATGTGTCAAGTTCTTAGCAATGCCATAGAAAGATGGCATCGTTGTTTGCATTGATTATTCATTCATTTTTGATAGGATTTTCAAGCATAGGCCATATTTTAATCCAAGAGTTATTTAAAACATACATTTTGTGAAAAGTGGTGATTCACTTTTTTCATCATATTTGATTGACTGTGTGAGTGACATGTCTCAAATAATAGTTTGTCCTTTTTCCTTCAAAAATAGGTGCATTGCCTGTTTAATATTTATATATCTGCCATTTCTGGTATAAAATTATCAAAATGGGGAAACTTTGGGTTATAAATAAAAAATTCTGATCCAAAAAGTCAACTCTATGTAATTAGAGATTGTTATTAAACTTCTTTTGTAACATTTAACTAAGAATGTTGCAGATACTGTCCATCCATATTGTTTTTGATTAATAAGGCATGGCATTGCACATTATTGATTAGACTGGTTCATTTCTTTAAATGAGCTTATTTTCAAAATTAGAACTTTTTGAAAATGAGTCCCAGCTCTACCTATAAATAGAAAGATCCACAATGTTACAGGGAGGGGCCAGTCATGCTATTTTATAAAGGGAAGGTAAAGGCATGGGCCTCTGGGCCTGGCCAGTGGCACAACCAAAACTTGAATAAACAGAGCTCTGACATAAAATGGTAACATGTCCCTATCATATTTTGCAATCTAATTTTGCATTTCATGTGAAAGATTGAAAACAAAAAGGTGATTTATTTCATATACAGGGTGTCAAATAAGTCCTGTCCCCCCCTGCTACAGTTAAAACCTTAATACATGGTACCAAGTGTGATATACCATTGGAAAGATCATCCAAAGTTATGTTAACTCACCAACTCTCAAGTATTTTGGATAAAATTCACCTATATTTTGATGATGTTCTTTATAATTAGTGTAGCCTCCTTAAGCAGCTTTAATTGTGTCAAAATGAGAAGAATATGACCTCAGAAATATGTCAAAAAGTTAACCTTTTTCGCATTTTACTTTAAACAAAAAGGATTTCACCACTTTCCTTGCACCTATTTTTTCTACACATCTAACCCTATTCAGAAATTGATTTAATTCATTGCCAAATACATATGTTGTCATCTTTAGGTCCTTTGACTTTTCTCATACCCGATTCTTAAAATCCTGCCAAATACGCCAAATTGCCATGTTTCTAGGCCTGTGGTCACCTCAATTGATACAATGTAAAAAGTTTTGAGATTGATTGACATGTGTCAGATATATGCCAATCAACGTAACTTTGGAAGACCTTTCCAATGATATATCACACTTGGTACCACTTATCTTGGGTTTGACTGTTTAAGGGGGGGGGACGGGACTTATTTGACACCCTGTATAATAGTTCTCATGTCATTTCATTAAATTCACCTAAATTCAATCTATGAAACACATTATTATCAAGTGCAGTAAACTCCTCACTGTTGAGATTTCTGAAAAATGTTTGCTTATTTATTTTTTGTTGATGAGATAATATGTGACAGATGGCGATGAACTGTAAAAATTCCCAAAAATGTTCCTACTGGCTTATCATTTCCGGAAGTTCTGATACGTTATATTACCGAATATGTGTTATGTGGAATGTTTCTTCGTTCATTTTACAAGAGCTAAATAAAATGGGAACATCCAAGCATTGGCTCCTCCCTTAGCATAGCAACACAGGTCCTACAGGATTAATATACTAATATATATCTTACCTATATCTCTGCTTTTTAAATGTGTCAAATGGGATAAACTACCGTATTATCTCTATTAAACGCACACTCTCTAATAAACGGACACCCGTTATTTATATACTAAATTTGTCGTCTAGGAGCTCACAATTCAAGGTAAAAACATAAAATATAGCATATTCTCTCTAATAAATGCACATATCTACTATATTTGATCGATTTAAGGTATAGAAGTAAATTTTCACCCATTATCGCCCACCATAATTTTTTAGAATTCCCGGGGATTTAGCTACTTGAAACCTCTCCCCCACGGAAATTTGCTAAGCGCACTGTGCGTTTAATAGAAATAATACAGTATATCCTGTGGCTACCGCCACTTTTCGGTTGCCCGTCCTACATTCGTCTGCGAACGAACGTATAACATTTTTTAATAATTTGGTATTTTTTGTATCCGACATGCTTGGTTGCTGCTCCGTCGCCACTTCAACCAAAAAAATTTGTCCTCTTGTAATTTGAAGAATTTTGGCCATGTTAATCTTATTGAAAATAACATGGCAGAGAAGCATCCAAATATAAGAAGTCACTTTATAAGCCAAACTAGAAGCAATCCAAGATATACAAATGTCATTCATATACAATAGGAATACATTTTTCCTTATATTATTGCATAATGATATTTTGATTTCTTATTTTTTTTTTTAGCTTTTACTGACGCAGTTAAACAGTGAAATGGACTTTAGACATTATTCGAAGTGTATTTTGAAAATTTTGAAGCTGCCATTGATGACGTAATTTGCTTGTCTATATATGACCAATCAGAGATGTGTGTCATCTCAATACAGCTTTACATTTTAAGCTTAAGTCATCTTTGAACTCTGGTGTTATTCCCCCTGAGAGCTGAGTCTGAATTCCACTTAGGTGGGCGATAATAGGTTAAAAATAAGTTCAAACAAGTTTTTCAAACATAATTTAGCAAATATAAGCAATGAAAGATGGATTCAAATAAGATCCATAACTTACCCAAATGGATTAAAGAAAACGACCCTTTGATTCATCCTTTAAGCTTGTCAAAACATCATTTATCGCTCCGTTATTTTGGTTTTGGTTTTACATTTTGACAGTCTCGCGAGATTTAAAGCTTCCACGAGAGAGCACGTGATTTCGCCACGTCCTCCATTTTTACAGCTACCGGGAGGAAAACATTCGACTTACTCGCATATTACACGGTTTCTAGCCAACAAAGGTAGGTATCCACCCCTTATTGTTAATAGATATTTTATATTCTTTGATAAAGAGTCATTCTAGTACATTTTCGCTTTGAGATTTATCTGAAAAAGATGTGTAGGCCCAAACTTCATTTTATTTGAATATTTCTCGTTTTTTTAAAAATCGTCCATCATCAGCAGATCATGAGAGCACCGGGAGCTATTTACATAAGATCTGTTTGGTATTTAGTGCTTTCTTTTCTCCAAGCAATTTCACAAGCTTTTTGTTTTTCAGGTCAATATGGCATCCGCTGATCAAGCATGCTACACCCTGATCAACATACCATCAGATGTTGAGCCTCCCAATGAGATGCAACTGCGTCAAGACTTAGGTAAGGGAACTAATGGATGTCTATAAATTTTTTCTTGATCTGCTTTTGTCTGTATAAATGCATGAATGTTTGTATTTATTTATTATCGTTTCAATGTCTTCCGAACAACATGATACAATAGAGCACAAGATGATACAAATGATGGAAATCGAGGTAATAAATAAGCTTTGTTGTGGATTCTTTTCAAATATTTTATTTTCACTTTCAACTTTTGTGAGATCTATTACCCTTGTGAGGAATAATGTATATGCGGTGTATATTTATAGAAAAGGGTGATATTAGAACTAAACAAGAAGCTCTGAAAAAGACTATCCAGTTGATTCTGAATGGCGAGAAGATGCCCTCATTGTTGATGACAATTATCCGATTCGTCATGCCCATTCAGGACCACACCATAAAGAAACTATTGCTGATCTTCTGGGAAGTTGTCCCTAAATATTCAGGAGATGGCAAACTCCTTCAGGAGATGATCTTAGTCTGTGATGCTTACAGAAAGGTAATTTAGAAAATTTATTATTACATGTAATTTGAAACACCAGCCCTGAATGCCCAATATTCATTCATTTGTTTTGAACAAACATAGCACTTTAGAGAATTAGGTGATTCTACTGAAACAGTGATCCATGAATCAAAATGCTATGAAATATATTGCTAGCTGTGAAAACCACATCTTGTAAATGAAGTTTTATTTCATTAGAATGAAAATACCAAAAAGATGTGCAGCAATTCAGCTTTTTATATATTCAACAATTGATTAATAAAAGACATATTAAATGGCTATTCTTTATTCTTTTTTAGGATCTTCAACATCCAAATGAGTTCATAAGAGGCTCTACCCTGAGATTCCTATGTAAATTAAAGGAGCCTGAGTTGATTGAGCCACTTATGCCAGCTATAAGAGCATGTCTAGATCACAGACATTCATATGTAAGAAGAAATGCAGTACTGGCCATATACACAATTTATAGAAACAATGACTTCCTAATTCCTGATGCTCCAGAGTTGATTGCTAACTTCCTAGAGGGCGAACAGGATGCCTCATGTAAACGTAATGCATTCATGATGCTTATACATGCAGACCAGGTATGTTAACAGGAGGGGTACAAGAAAAAAAAATCAAGTAAAATCAGTCTTCTAGGACAAGTTTGCATATACCTGATTAGTCAAGTAGTAGGAGGGGGTTCACAGAGGCTTGTAGGTAGACTGAAATTCTATGTAAGGAAATTGGGTCATGTAGAACTAAGATTATTCAAAAGTATTTTCAATTGTGAAAATCAAGTCAAGATAACCTCTACAATAGCAAACATTAAAGAACCTCATTGGTCACCAGTTAATTAGTTTATTTTATTTCATCCTCACTTTGTCTCTTATTTCAGGAACGTGCATTAAACTACTTGAGTAGCTGTATTGACCAAGTGAACTCATTCGGTGACATCCTCCAGCTTGTCATCGTGGAGCTGATCTATAAGGTAAGTGTTTTATGATTTATTTAATTTTCATAATTTGATAGTGGTGTATCGAAGTAAAACCTTCAAATTACCATGAGATAATATAAGCCACATAATTTATGATGGTTAGATTTTGGCTTTTGATCGTGGGCCTATAGAATCACCCACCTGTTTCAGTTTCAAAGCTTCAAATTTAAAAAGTTAAATGAGGTAATTTTGAAAAATTGAAAGTATGTGATCAAAAAAGGATTTGATCAATATTTCTCTACTTTATGTTTTTAGGTATGTCACGCCAACCCCCAGGAGCGAGCACGGTTTATCAGGTGTATTTACAACCTGCTGAACTCCTCCAGCCCTGCTGTCAGATATGAGGCTGCCGGCACCCTGGTCACCCTCTCTAGTGCTCCCACTGCTGTCAAGGTAGGCATCTTTGTGGGGGTTTATCAAGATAAGGATTACATTATTCAAGGGTCTTAAAAGGAACTTTGGGTGCTGTATTTTGATCAGTTAAACAGGTAGACCGCAACAAAATCTTGTCTACTTATTCTTTGCAAACTTTATTATCAAGGTAAATTCTGAGCTATCAGGGCAACGTTTGACCTAACATTTCTTTGTCGGACCTTTTTTCTTAAAATGTATCCGACATGCTTATCTATTTCAGCATTAAGAAGTGTAGATTAAGTTTTGAGTTTTACAAGAGGAGTCCCACTTATAGATTTAAAAAACTACATTTCAAGATTTTATCTGTAGAAATTTCAGCTGAACTAACTTCATAATGAAAATAGATGATGACCTTGATGAAATATCCAAACTTTGATATATTTTGACACTAGGTCCATGATCATTGGATACATCTCTGTACTAAGTCTTCAACCTTTAAGTAACATTTATGTATATGTCTCTTGTTTCCCCAGGCTGCAGCCAGTTGTTACATAGAGTTGATTGTGAAAGAGAGTGACAACAATGTCAAGCTGATCGTCTTAGACAGACTCATTGGCCTAAAGGAGGTACCAGCACATGAGAAGGTTCTTCAGGTGAGAGAAGTTTCAAAAATTCAAAATGCAATTTAGAAGGCACAAAATGCAATGGCCAAAAGAACACTAGTAAGAACTGAGTCTTGCCCCTATTAACGCATCCTGTGCATAGAATATTGTGAGAAAATAGTGGAATTAGAAGCAGAATGTGTCTTAACTAATAAATACTTCTATCTAAACTTTTATGACACTAATAAAAATACACTCGCTAGATCTTTTTATTCTAAGACATATTTAAAAAAGAATTTCTGTGTAAATATGGTTAATTAAAATTGGAATTGTATTACATGTGCAATCTTTTGTTAAGGATCTGGTGATGGACATACTTAGAGTACTAGCTGCTACAGACATGGAAGTCAGAAAGAAAACCCTCAGTCTCACACTCGATCTTGTCACCTCTAGGAATATAGAAGAGGTAAGTACCCTATTAGGAGAATAAAATAAAAATAAAATAATGATTTTTATCATACTTTATGATATGTATTAATTTTTAAATGTCAAAAACAATAACAAAATATGAAATCACCAACTGGAGGATTGAATTCCAAACTGCCAAACAATATAGAAAAAGAGAGAATGGATTGGGAAAGAGGGGGAATTAATCAAAGAAACTACACCTTATATTCTAAAATCCATAATTCAATTGAAATAGTAATGTTTCAATAAAAAACTCATGAGAACTGTCTCTTATAAAAATGGAGATAATCTGTAAACATATCAATGAATAGAGAGTCAACAAAATACAGACCATTAAAATAATTGACCACCAATTAAAAGCACCATTAAAACCAAGTGGTGAATATGTCAATAATAGTTCAAATATTATACCTCATTATTCAGATGGTGCTTGTCCTGAAAAAAGAAGTTGTGAAGACGAACAATGCAATAGAACATGAAGATACTGGCAAATACAGACAGCTGCTTGTGAGAACTCTACATCAATGTAGCGTCAAGTTCCCTGATGTTGCTAACACCATCATACCTCTAGTAAGTATTGTACATTTTATATTTGGACTTGGGACAATGAGTTAGAACATATTGCTTCTATACAAATACTTTATTCTACTATGGTGAATATTGTATATTCCTAACTGTATTCATCAGGAATTTTCTCTTGTTTTGTGAACATGACTAGAATGAATACTACCTGATCTTTTATGTCATGTAACTTGGGTTTGACCAATCATAAAATAGCAAGTTTTGATACATTTCATCATGTGACTTGGGTTTAACCAGTCATAAAATGGCAAGTTATGATACATTTCCAGCTGATAGAGTTCCTGAGTGACCAGAATGAGCTAGCCTCAGCAGATGTGTTGGTGTTCGTACGTGAAGCCATACAGAGGTTTGATCAACTCCGACCACTCATCATCAGTAAACTCCTAGAGGTGTTCCCATCCATTAGTAGTGTCAAGTAAGTTTGATGGTTAGTCTTGTTATGTCACCACCACCACCACCACCAAGTGGTGACATATTGTTATAGTCTTCAACTTTTTTGTGGACAGTGTTCGGTGTTTGGCATTCTGTGAGTGGTGGTTGTGGTTTGTCATCTGTAACAAATGACAGGTGGTGAAATTTTGCATGTTAATGCCTTGTTTTAAATTCATTCAAATTGGTAGTTGTCAGATTTCAATGAATGTATATATTGTGTATTCTAGTCAGAATAGCTCAGAACCACTATTGGGGGATCTTATTTTTAATTATTTTTTAGAGCTAGATGTCCCCAAAGATAATATTGTGCAAATGCAAGTAATGTCTCAAGCGTTCTGTGCCCCATCCTGCAGATTGTACTAATGTAACATCTGTTTCTAGAATTTTCCGGGCCACTCTATGGATCCTTGGTGAATACTGTGGCACCCCTGAAGACATCCAGAGCGTAATGACCCTGGTTCGCCAGTCCCTTGGGGAGATACCTATTGTTGATGATGAAATGAGGAAGGCCTCGGGAGATGCTGACAAAGAGGAAGGTTAGTGTGTTTTGAATTCACATGGGATCCATTTGGTTCATAGTTACTGTCATAGCAATTAACTAGAAATCAAAATGCTACAATATTGATAATGCCATGATTTAAAGTCTTAGCGCAATTAAAGTTATGCAATTCATTATTTCAGTTTGAGTAAAGAGAACATACAAATGCTGGTCTTTCACAAGCAGATTAACCTTTAAAGTCGATTCACAAATGTTCAGAAACATGGTGACTTTGATAGAAACATACAGGGTGATCACCAAGTCATGTTTATATATTAACTTATAAGTATGTTGATTCTAGAGCTAGCTGCAATGCAGGCAGGGAATGTACAGAAACTGGTCACTGAGATGGGAACTTATGCCTCACAAAGTGCCTATAGTCAGGCTAAGCCCAACAAGAAGGAGGAAACTAGGTATGGTTTTTATTACTTATGATATTTCTGGATATACAGGGTGTCCAAGAAGTAACGTCAATGACCCTGGCATTTTTGTCATTTATGCTTCAAATGTCATGAAACTTGGTCAGAATGTTCCTTGTACATTTATAAATATAAATATGAAGTATGGAGTTACTAGCATTTGATTGGCCGGTTTTATGGTTACCATAGTAACACAGGTGCATGGACCCCGGGGCAGCTCTGCAATCCGTAAGATCTTTGGAAAATAAAATAACCATAAACACTAGTTTTGAAGTGTACATCTTTTATTATTTATAATATGACCACAAATATAATGTTTTCAACTACACATCATTTATTCATAATATAGCTGTTGTTGGCGTTATATTAGTGTAAAGTTTATTGAATGTTACTCTATATAATCACCACCAAGTTCCACATATCTCTGGTGTCTTCTTACCCACTCCAAGAAAACTCTATTGAAACCACCAGAGCTCATTTCTGCAAGGGATGACAGAACAGAGTTCCTAAGTTCCTCATTTGAAGAGAAAGACTGAGGCATAAATATATGATTTGGACAGGTATATCATTTTTAACATATCATTATAACTAAGCAATCAATGAAAATAAGGGTTTACCTTTGCGATATACCTTGAGTTGACTGTCTGTCCCACAGGGACAAAATGGGTGAGGATCATTCCCCTGATGTCGAAAAATGTGATTATCATCTGCTTTTTCATAGGAACCCCGGGCATCAGTTTTGGCTTTGATGGTGTAGGTGAGTCATCATGTTTCCATGCAGCACTTTGTTGGGCATTCTCAGGGGCATAGAATCCAATTGAGCTTTCATCAGAAGTTACAATTTGCCCCAGAAAGTTTTAACTTATAATAACCTGATTTACATAATATTTACCAGGTACATTCTGAACTGCCCCGGGGTCCATGCACTTGTGTTACTATGGCAACCATAAAATTGGCCAATCAAAGGCTAGTCACTCCATACTTCGTATTTATATGTATAAATGTACAAGGAACATCCTGACCAAGTTTCATGACATTTGAAGCTTAAATGTCAAAATGCCAGGGTCATTGACGTTACTTCTTGGACACCCTGTAATTGTGCCTGGGGACATTAATCAGGCTGAGTAGCACATGGAGATGTTTACTACATGACTACTTACCTCAAATTAATTAGAACCAAACTGTCAATGAGAAAAAACAAGAATTTCAAGTTATAATCTTGAAAGTAAAATCTTGTTCTTGGATTAACATTTTTTATCATAACTATCAACATTCGGAGACGATCATACTTGATTGATTGAATATTTTCGTATTTTAGACCTACACTGAGACAATATTTGATGGATGGCGACTTCTTTGTGGCAGCTGCTCTGGCCACTAGTCTCACTAAACTGTCCCTGAAATTCCAACAGATTGTCGACAACAAGAAAAAACAGAATGTGAGTGTGAAGAAGGAATCTTGTTGATGGTTTACTTCATTTTATCAAAGCATTTATATGCCTGACTGTTAAATTATCTTACAGATTTGTTTTTTTTCTAGCATGAGATACTCAAAGTCATAAATCAGTTAAAGAATCATAATGAGTTAAAATTTAAAAATTAATAGAATAAATGAGTCTCATGGCTTCATATGTCTAATAAAGCATCTGATTATAATTTCAGTCATTCAATGCAGAGGCAATGTTGATCCTATCCACTGTGCTACATTTTGGCAAATCTGGGCTTCCCACTAAGCCAATCACTGAAGATGATGTTGACAGGATAGCCCTGTGCCTGAAGGTGTTATCAGAGCATTCAGATCTTATGTTGGACATCTTCAATCGTCTCTGTAGACAGTCCCTCTCTACAATGCTGACTGTTAAGGCAGAGGAGGATAAAGAATTTGCAAAGGTATGCAAGGCTAGGGAAGACAAGGGAATTTTGTTTGTTGTTTAAATTTTTCACCTTGGGCTTATAGAAAATGTACTTTATGTAAATCTGGCAACATTGAGGATGAGGAACATTTTATTTTTAATTGCACATTTTATAAGGAAATAAGGAAAACATATTTACAAAATCACCAAATTTTTGAAGAAACAGAATCAACTACGGATCAAAAGTTTCAGTATTTATTTGAAAAAATGCCTAGGCAAGCTGCTCATTTTGTTAAACTTTGTTATTTTAAAAGAAGAAATGCCATTTATAATGTAAATTGAATTTAACTGCATGTATATGTCTAAGAAATTCATGCTAGTATTTTTAAAATTGTTTGTTATGAATCTAATTGTAATTTTTAACATTAGTGGTTGATAAGCCCAAGTGGGCTGGGTTGCTTTTTATCACTTTTCTTTTGTATTGTATTGTATTGCATTGTATTGAACCTACCACTGTAAATAACAATAAAACTAAACTAAACTAAACTATAGAAGGAAAGCCAAATTGTAGAATAGGGTTGAAGCAAAACTTACATGAATTTGTTATAAATATCATTCAAATATTGAGAACACCAACTTGAGTTTTGTCAAAATGAGTGAAAATGAATATTTTAGCACATTTCATTTTTCAGATTCAGAATTATTCCAGTGATTAATTTGTCAAAATTAGTTTAAGCCAATATTTTCTCACATTTCAGTCAACAGAGAAAAAAGCTGTAAAGGTGCAAGCAGATGACCCTATAGGCTTCATTCAACTGGTCAACAAGAATGAATTAGGTGCGACAGAGAACCAGTTTGAATTGACCCTCTCACAAGCCCTGGGTATGAAAGCTAACAAAGATGTAGACTTCACCAGCTCCTCAAAACTTAACAAGGTAAGAGCAGTCAATATATTATAGAGGTTCATTTAAGATTTAGTCTGTTGGTCTTGGGACTCTGAAGTGTTCCACTAACATAGGTGTTCCATTTTTAAAGGTTTTCCACTTTGCAGGCTTCACTGTATATATTGTATGGTACACTTTTATTGACTGTTTAAATTGTGTACCTTTATGATATTATAGACCAAAATTTTAGTTTTGATCTTGACCAATGGTACCAAAACTGAACCAATGCCAAACCCCGGATCCATTATGAGTTTGCATACGATTGACATTCTGTCTAATATTTCAGGTGACACAACTGACTGGTTTCTCTGATCCTGTATATGCTGAGGCCTATGTTCATGTTAACCAGTATGACATTGTCTTAGATGTACTCATTGTCAACCAGACTGGTGACACTCTACAGAATCTGACACTAGAACTTGCTACCTTAGGTGAGTTACTGCTAAAAACAATGGCATTTTCATTATGAATCCTGAAAGAAAAGATCTTGTTAGATTTGGGGCTATTTTTCTCACTTTTCATGGAAACTTATTTTTCTTCCCTGATGAGTTATTCAGAAAAATCCACCATAATAAATGGCATTAAAGAAGGAAATGTTTTTCTAGAAACAGATGATACGTCATTTTAGAAACAAAAAATTAGTTATTTCATATTATCATTTGGTAGCTTATGGGGGATGCTTCAAATATTATATTACAGATTGTTGTAAGTAAAGTGTATCCTCACATTATATGACACAATGTTATTTATTATATTGTATGCTATAGGTGATCTGAAGCTGGTAGAGAAACCTCAACCAGTCACCATGGGCCCACATGACTTCTGTAACATCAAGGCCAATGTTAAAGTAGCCTCTACTGAGAATGGCATCATATTTGGCAATATAGGTAATGAACATTGAAAAAGTGAGGAGTAAAAAGTTGAACATATTAAAATTTGCAGAATTTGACTGACAATACATTGCCCTATTGTGGCTCATAAGAAACGCTTGATAGAATTCTGTCAAAAACATGAAATCATGGATAACTATGTAGGAGTTTACATTTCTATGATTTACACCTGAATATCATAAAAACAAATTGGATTTATTAAAATTCTGTATCTTACAAGTATTTCTGTGACTTTTTAAATCAACTAAATTCTCAATAAAGACATAATTTTTTCTCATCTTTTATAGTTTATGATGTTTCCGGTGCAGCCAGTGACCGCAACTGCGTCGTGCTGAATGACATCCATATAGATATCATGGACTACATCGTCCCTGCCACATGCACGGACACAGAGTTCCGACAAATGTGGGCAGAGTTTGAATGGGAGAATAAGGTGTCCGTCAACACAAATATCAGTGAGCTGAATGAGTACATGCAGCACTTGCTGAAGTCTACCAATATGAAGTGTCTTACTCCAGAGAAAGTGAGTGCTAAGTTGTTCAATATCTCCTATTCCCTTTGATATATCTGGCGCTTAATTCTACACAATTTATTTTGTTAAGTGATTAGGGGATGAAAGGCTTTTCAGCTTAAAGTAGAACATTGTAAATAGATTTAAAAAAATTTTAGTCAATATTTCTCATAGCTTCGATAGATTGAAAAAGTATTCTGATAGAAAATAAGTTTAAAACAAAAATTAATTTTCAGGCCCTGAAGGGAGATTGTGGTTTCATGGCCGCCAATATGTACGCTAGGTCCATATTTGGAGAAGATGCACTTGCCAACCTCAGCATAGAGAAACCCATCCACATAGGACCTGATGCTCCGGTTACTGGACATATAAGAATCAGAGCCAAAAGTCAGGTAAAATAGCATTTCAAAACACATAAGTTACAAACATTTTAATTAAGTTTACTTAAAATGCACATTTTGATTCAAGATTTAAAAAAAAATGTTGGCATAAACACTCTTCAATTGCATAGCTTCAAAAGAGCTAACCACTGTGTAGTGAGAACATATTCAAAAAGAAATTCGCAATAGTATCAGAATGAATTTCATTTTTCGATCTTAAAATTGTTCAGAAAAAAAAATTTCAGAAAAAAACAGAAGAAAATTGGATAGTGGAAAGAGAAATTTGGGGAATTTTTTTTAATTTGGGAAATTCAAAAACTTGATGTTGCATGAATCAAAATTCATGCTGTAATGTTAATAGATTATAGTTTTATGTTGCACATTTCAGGGCATGGCTTTGAGTTTGGGAGATAAGATCAACCTGTCGCAGAAGAAAGCTGCAAAGACTGGCCATGGAAACTAATATGATAGAATTAAAACAGACATTGGGACTATTCAGTGTAACATTGGGACTAATCACTGCATCATTGGGACTATTCAGTGTAACATTGGGACTAATCACTGCATCATTGGGACTATTCAGTGTATCATTGAGACTATTTTGAAGTGTGGTTTGCTGCAGTTGAAAGTTGATTCATAAAAAACATTTTTGTGGGAAGAATGACTTACAACCATGACTTCACCAAAAATGTACTCCAATATGACACTGTATTTTTTTTCATAAAATTGAGACTATAGCTTATTTTCTGAATCAATGTATCTAAGATCGTATTTTACAAGCTTAACTTATAAGAAATGCAAATCAGGATCTAATGCTTTGGAATAGGGCTAAACTGTGGTGTGCATCACATTATTGTTGCTGAATTTACAAAAGGGAATGTATAAATAATATTGTATGTATGGGAATGGAAAATATGGATATTTAATATATATTGAGACAATAAATACCACTAAACAAAGTATCTGCCATCTTATAGTTGAACTGTTTGAATAAATGGAACTCTGGTAGATAAAATTCAATCATATTTGTTCGTATTTGAAATAAGCTTGACTTGGATAATACAGTTAATAAAGTTACTGAGCTGAGATAATGGAAAAAAGACCCCAATGTCTTGAGTATATTGAAGTGTTGAGAAATAGGACACTGATAGCTTACAACTGAGTGTGTTAAAAAGGGGAACTCTAGCCCAATACTAAACAAATCAACAAACAAATGCCTGTCATATATTTTCAATAATAAATCTATATTTGCACATATTTCAACTTACAAGGCACTTCCCATCTATTTTTTTACATGCATTTGTTAACATTTGTAGATATTAAATGACACTACATATTTTTATAGTATGAGATACTGCATGTATCATCTAGAAAATTGCACTAAACAGACAATGAAATGTTTAAATTAATCTTATTTAGGTGTTAAGACTTATATATTTAACTGGCAAGGTAGCTACTAAAGAGGACAAAGTAAGGGTTTTCTACTTAAAGAGGACAATTTGATCCATGACGACTTAACCTTTTTTCAAAATGCAGGTTTCATCTGAATATTGAAGAGAGTATCCTCTGTCTGATATTTATTGAAACATGGTTTGTTTAAAATAAATGAAGGCATTGTTATTAGAGAAAGACAACTCTGGTTTATCATAGAATGGTTTAGACTATCCACATATTCAATGGTACCCACCTACTAAGGCAGTAGCTGTGTTGAGATACACATTCAAATAGCCTATATGTACAAAGTGCATCATTCCAAACTGAGGCATATACATATTAAACTTGTTAATAATAAGAAAAATAAGAATTCAAAATTGAGGTTAAGATTTAATACACACAGTTCACAGTGCAATAAGACCACGAAATGAACAGACATTTTGTAATTTGAGCAGATTTTATCATACAACATTCAAAATAATCTATTGTTTTCATTTGAGAAAATACATGTATAATAGGATTGAGGTATACATTGTTTTACATAATTAACCCGCCTGCCAACCAACAGTTTGGCACTTATAAAAGACCAAGTTGTACAAATCACCATCAATCTACTGTAAAATAGCTTTAACTCACATTATTTCTTTCCAATAATAAACATCTTAAATATTGATTTAATAAGCCAAAATGATTTACCTCATATCACAATGATCCTACAACTAGACTATTTCAGAATTTGTTTTCACTAATATCAATGGTTTAATTGTTATTTAGTTACATGAATCTGATTGCTTTGGTGAATTTAAAATGTTGAGAAATTAACGTGTTAATGAGGACAATTCCAAAATTAATGCCAACTCAAGCCACAGTTCCAATAACCTAGCCATACTCGACTTACACAATATAGAAGGATTGGTGTGAGGTTCAATTGGTGTATAGTAAAACCTGCGTGTAATGAACACCATCAGTTCTGACAAATATTGTTCCTTGTTTAAAGATGATTCATTCAAGTGTAAGTCAATGAGACTTTAGCCATAGTCACATTTGCCCTATGGCGGGCAGAAAACAACCATACCTTCACAAAATCAATATAGCCAATCTACATACTTACTGCTTATATTTTATCCTGCATATTTCTCTTGAATTTGGGAAGTTACATCCGCCATACAGTTGCAGTAGATGAAATGTGACAGGCATTCATGCTTTTAAATCTGTTTCACACAGGCAGGACTTACTACTGGCGCCATCTTTGACATATCCTTCATTTATCTTATTCTCCAACATTGTGACCACAATTGTGAGTACACTCACTAATCACTAAACTAAAAGCATAGCCAGATAAACGTATGACACCTTATACCTCTCGTATATATTCACATTGTACATACGCCTGGAGACAAGTTTTGTAAAAATCTCATATATGTTACTGTTTGACAAAACACTTATCAGTTGAACACTCCTTTTACCATCAACATACAATGGAAGTATTAAAACCTTATCATAGTTGAACATTTTGTACAGCTGAACACATCTTACTGCCAGAGAAAAACTGAACATTTCAGTGTTCAATGTCAACAAGTTCCAAGTCTTATACAAGGTTGCCATGAGTTTTAAATACTGATTATTCAGTACATAGTACAGAAGTAAGTTATCTTTTACATTGCAAATACCAATCTATATAATAATATCTACATGTAGCTTATATGTAAGCAAACATTAACATAAAATACATATTTCAATACATAACATACTTCATACAATATAATTTTATATAGACTATATATGTAAAATGATATTCATGCTCAAAGCATCATGTTAAAGCTCATATGTATAAAATTGTTTAAGTACACTGTATTATTGAAATTCATTGTGAAATTTCAATATATATTTTCGAAATTAGGCCTACAATAGTATCACTGGGGTTGTAAGACTATAAAATATGAAACACCAAAACATTTACATATTTGAAATGAAATAGAATGAGGCTGAAGAACCAAACAGTGAATGAAAGACAGATCATAGATGATGACAAGATTCGGTTCATGCTTTGTACGACATTCTGTACAACTCGTGCTAAAATTCACCATATTGAATGGCCTATCATTATTTTTAAATCAAAGCACCTCTTGGAACCCAATTGAAGTATAACATGCCTCAAATATTGTATCAAGTAAAGACTGGTCTGATCTGGGGATGAATCATGGTCATTTCAAAACTAAACTTTCCCAATATTTTCATCATTTCAAGTGATTCTACTTTGTAATATAATTGCATGTATTTCATCCAGATGTCATTTTGATAATTTTCCTTTGAGGTGAAGATATGTTAATCACGCTAAAGAGAAAATAATGTCAGCTGTAAAAGACAATGCTATAGTATACACTTTATACAAAAAATAAATATAAAGAGTTTAGCTTGCATCTATACAAAATAATATAAAATGAAAATAATGTACAAGAATAAGATAGTAGACAAATAAGGCTATTGTATAGTGAGCTTATTGTACATTGTACATTGTTATTGTACACTGTTATTGTACATTGAATATATACTACAATTTTTATTAATACAATCCTAATTTATGATATACTGAACTTTTAACTCAAGAATTATTTATGATATGAGTACAATAAAAGCTGAATGACATTATGATATAATGTTAACTGAAGAATATGATACAATGTTAACTGAAGAATATGATACAATGCTAACTGAAGAATATGATACAATGCTAACTGAAGAATATGATACAATGCTAACTAAAGAATATGATACAATGCTAACTGAAGAATATGATACAGTGTTAAACTGAAGAATATGATACAATGTTAACTGAAGAATATGATACAATGCTAACTGAAGAATATGATACAATGCTAACTGAAGAATATGATACAATGCTAACTGAAGAATATGATACAATGCTAACTGAAGAATATGATACAATGTTAAACTGAAGAATATGATACAATGCTAACTAAAGAATATGATACAATGCTAACTGAAGAATATGATACAATGCTAACTGAAGAATATGATACAATGCTAACTGAAGAATATGATACAATGCTAACTGAAGAATATGATACAATGCTAACTGAAGAATATGATACAATGCTAACTGAAGAATATGATACAATGCTAACCGAAGAATATGATACAATGTTAACTGAAGAATATGATACAATGTTAAACTGAAGAATATGATACAATGCTAACTGAAGAATATGATACAATGCTAACTGAAGAATATGATACAATGCTAACTGAAGAATATGATACAATGTTAAACTGAAGAATATGATACAATGCTAACTAAAGAATATGATACAATGCTAACTGAAGAATATGATACAATGCTAACTGAAGAATATGATACAATGTTAACTGAAGAATATGATACAATGCTGACTGAAGAATATGATACAATGCTAACTGAACAATAGATACAATGCTAACCAAAGAATATGATACAATCTTAACTGCTGAAGAATGATATATGATACAATGCAGAGTAAAGTGATAATATAATGCAAAAATATTAGCTGTAGGTTGATACATGATACAATAATAAGATCTATTAGCAGTTAATATATATGTATAGTGCATTGCCACTGGAGGATTCGAGATTGTCAAATATTCACTTTAATCACTTATAATACAATATCCAGCTATTATTCCTTAAACCTACATATCTTCAGCTTGTCATTTCACAACACCTGTATTTTAAAGACATTGAGACAAAGTGTATCTACTAGGACTGATGCTGCTGACAAGGATTTCAAGTGAATGGACTGTATTTAAATGACTCTTGAATATATCTGATTACTTCCTGTATCAAAGAGAGTGTCAAAAGCACACATAGTTCATTTAGAAATAATTGCACTTTACGTAACATGAAGAAAAACATCAATGACATGGTCAGGGGTTGTTCTTACCGAAATCGCCTGTTATTGTACAGAAATAAACTCCAACAATTTTGTCTATTAGTACAAATAACAAAAAGTTCCAAAAAGCAAGCCCAATGTCCTGTTTAAGAACCTCTACTTACTTTTGAAAATGGATTCTAGCAATACTATCCCACATGAATCTACTTGTTGAGACTCGATCAACTTGAGTTCTTCCGAGAAAATGAGGATTTCAGCAAGAGTGCATAGACTCAACATGGGTACATACACCATTGACCATTGACTTAGTGAAACCAAATGCCATCCAGTTGGCACCCTGCACTTCAACTTCTGATTTGAAAAACGAGTCAAGTAAGCAGCCACCTGGAGATAGCACAAGCCTAGCAAGGGCTAATTTCTTTAAGACTTGAAAAATTGCACCAGTTGAACATTTTCTGGGGGAGAATACTGATATTTGACCCAGCCACTGTTAAGTAGTAACAACATTAATGAATGAGCATAAAAACTATAGCACCGGACAAACCTCATTGACAATATTTCTTTGATCATAAAATGATCTGACTAAAAGTATTTATATTGCAAGTGTACAAAATAAAATAATCATTCTCTGTAACAACAATTCTTTGAAAGATTGTATCATGTTTAGACAATCTCTCATATTATGTACTTTTTTTTACATAATTCAACACAAAGTGCCATTTTTGGTAAAGCTGGCGATTTCTACATAATGTTTCATGACTAGAACGCCTTAAAATCCTCCAATCAAAATGCAGCATATGTTAAAGTTTGAGCACTAGAATTCAGCTTTGTGTATATGTGTATGTTACAATATTCTACACTTTGCCTTTTTCTTGCGTCGATGTTGTTTTACTGGCGGTCTTTCATCAGCTTGAAATTTCCTGGAAAATTGGAAGTTGGAATTATTTCATCTTATCCATTTTTTATTTATAAATTTATTTCAATGGCTGTGCCATACTGGCATTACTAGCCATGTCTTTATATATATTAAAACAAGAACACAAATGTGTACAAAATGTCCCCACCAATGGGTGATCCTGTCAAATGGTTATCCTGAAAATGAGTAGACAAGACTTTACCAACACAATTTGAGGAAGGAAAATCCAAATTTTCCAAATGTATGACCATTAATATACTTTACCTGACTATTCTGACAAGGTCATAGAAAGCTTGGTCCACGTTCATTCTCACTTTGGCACTGGCTTCTATGTATGGTATTTTTAACTCTCTGGCTATTGAGGCACCTTCATCATGCGTTATCTACAAATTTTGAATATACAATACATGTATATACTATATATTCATAAATGAAGGACATGCATCATAACAGTGACAGTTTGCTCCAACCCTGTCTTTTCATTGTATATTTGTTTGTAGATATTTATGAAATACCTATTGATTAAATTTGTTCCTTCATACAGGCGATCTGTATATCTTATGTGTATGCTCTATTGTGGTCATATATTCTGTTTATGAAAGAAAATTCAAATGAATTTATGTTTTCCTGCATTCAAAGCTAGCTATATTGAAGGGAATTAACACACACATAATCAATCTTTTGCAGTAAATTACCCTTTACTGTTCACTACACTCTACAGAGAAGGCATTAACATGACAAAATGTCACCACCTAAAACAATTTGGTCAATTTAAAGCAAGTTGGAAAATTGAGAAGGTCATAAAAGGTCAAATGTAAAGTCAGATTTGAATTTCTGAGAACATGTAGATGATTTTGAAAAAAAAATTAGTCGATTTGAAGCAAGTTGAAAAAGACCTTTTTGACCTTTTTTGACCTTGAGAAGGTCATTGAAGGTCAAATGTCAAATCTAAAGTCAAATCTAAAGTCATATTTGAATTTCCGAGAACATGTAGATGATTTTGAAAAAAAAATTAAGTCAATTTGAAGCAAGATGAAAAAATACCTTTTTGACCTTTTTTGACATTGGGAAGGTCATCGAAGGTCAAATGTCAAATCTAAAGTCAGATTTGAATTTCTGAGAACATGTAGATGATTTTGAAAAAAAAAATTAGTCAATTTGAAGCAAGTTGAAAAAAGACCTTTTTGACCTTTTTTGACTTTGAGAAGGTAATTGAAGGTCAAATGTCAAATCTTAAGTCAAATCTACAGTCAGATTTGAATTTCTGAGAACACGTAGATGATTTTGCAAAATTTTTTTTGTCAATTTGAAGCAAGTTGAAAACAGACCTTTTTGACCTTTTTTGACCTTGAGAAGGTCATTAAAGGTCAAATGTCAAATCTAAAGTCAGATTTGAATTTCTGAGAACATGTAGATGATTTTGAAAAAAAATTAGTCAATTTGAAGCAAGTTGAAAAAAGACCTTTTTGACCTTTTTTGACCTTGAGAAGGTCATTGAAGGTCAAATGTCAAATCTAAAGTCAAATCTAAAGTCATATTTGAATTTCTGAGAACATGTAGATGATTTTGAAAAAAAAATTTAGTCAATTTGAAGCAAGATGAAAAAATACCTTTTTGACCTTTTTTGACATTGGGAAGGTCATTGAATGTCAATTGTCAAATCTAAAGTCAGATTTGAATTTCTGAGAACATGTAGATGATTTTGAAAAAAAAATTTAGTCAATTTGAAGCAAGTTGAAAAAAGACCTTTTTGACCTTTTTTTTGACTTTGAGAAGGTCATTGAAGGTCAAATGTCAAATCTTAAGTCAAATCTAAAGTCAGATTTGAATTTCTGAGAACACGTAGATGATTTTGAAAAATTTTTTTAGTCAATTTGAAGCAAGTTGAAAACAGACCTTTTTGACCTTTTTTGACCTTGAGAAGGTCATTGAAGGTCAAATGTCAAATCTTAAGTCAAATCTTAAGTCAGATTTGAATTTCTGAGAACACGTAGATGATTTTGAAAAAAAATTAAGTCAATTTGAAGCAAGTTGAAAACAGACCTTTTTGACCTTTTTTGACCTTGAGAAGGTCATTGAAGGTCAAATGTCAAATCTAAAGTCAGATTTTGAAGGTCAAATGTCAAATCTAAAGTCAGATTTGAATTTCTGAGAACATGTAGATGATTTTGAAAAAAATTTAGTCAATGTGAAGCAAGTTGAAAAAAGACCTTTTTGACCTTGAGAAGGTCATTGAAGGTCAAATGTTAAATCTAAAGTCAGATTTGAACTTCTGAGAACATGTAGATGATTTAGAAAAAAATTGAAGTCAGTCTAAACAGTATTTGTTAAGTTATAGGAAGTTGTAAGAAATTGTTACAGACGCCGGACGCCGGACGCCAACCTCCAACCACCAACCACCAACCGCCGTCGCAAAAAAATGGAGACCATAACAATATGTCACCACTTTTGGTGGTGACATAAAAAAAAACGGAGACCATAACAATATGTCACCACTTTTGGTGGTGACATAAAAAAAACGGAGACCATAACAATATGTCACCACTTTTGGTGGTGACATAAAAAGAGAGCCATTTAAAACGCCTGATACAAGTGGATAAATGCAGAACTATTGTATTTAATTTCAAATGATAAACTGAAAGTACTCTATATTGCAAAAACCTGAGAAGCGTTTTAGCACATAATCCTCTGTTGTCAAAAAATTGGTAATTGACAAAAAGGGTCCAATTTGTGAAATACATAAAATACTCACAAACAAGAAAATAATCAAGAGGCTAAAATAACATTTTGGGGTTCATTTTCAAAAATGGACCCACTCCCAATCCGCCAATGCTATGTACAACAGAGTGTGAGAAAACCATACTAATTTCTATGCAGGCAGGGTAGTGCAATAGGCTAGTGAGGCACATTCACCAGGTATTAAGACATTAAGACTGTTTATTCATTACTTCATTATATCAAAATTGATGGCTCCTTAAGATCAAAGGTGGTTTGAGGGTAATTAACACACATATAAAATTCAAGCGTTTCAAGGTAAAAGTCACCTTGAGACTAATTAACCTGACACATTAATTAGCGAGGTGTACTCATCAGTCATTATTAATTGAATTGAACATGCATACAAATGATCAGATGTAATCAGGTTGCATTACTTAAACCCCATTTACAATATTTAGGGTCTTAAATACATACAATAAAAATCAAAATGTTATAAGACAGTATTATACAAAAGTTTCAAGATATGTAAATTTTAATGGGCAGCTAAAAAGCAAGTGCCATCAAATGTATAATATTGTGAAGATAGCAATGACCAACAAATTACAAGTATCTTGGTATTTATAAGAAAATTACATGACACGGGCCATGCTCGTGAATGTAAAGATGTGTGGTATCAAGGAAGGTCAATGATATACGTAGTTACAGACAACTGAATTGTCAGAGGTTAAAAAGCAATTTTCTTTCAAGGGTCAAGGGTACCCAAATGATAACCAGTTATTAGAAATGACCATCATCACTGAATTCTGGGACTTACCCTTCTTTGATGTTCTAAATCTGCTTTGTTGCCTACAAGAATCATGGGAAATTCATCTCTGTCTTTAACTCTGAGTATTTGTTTATGGAATTTGTAGATTTGGTCAAAACTGAAAGCAACAAGTATGAAGAGTAATAAAGAGTGTAATGACATTTACGTTTACTCATAATTATAAGATCTACATTTCAGAATAAATCAGAATACAGTTGTACTAGCCAAAGGATAAGTCTGGATTACTAAACCAGTTTTGGAGTTGTGCAAAAGCACAATCAGTCATCATAATCTATATTTTCTCCTCTATAAGTTCAATGATGTAATCATGGAGTGTCCGGCAAAAAAGTGGGTGCGGATCAAAATGCTGCAATCTGATTGGTCAAATGGTGAACTGTCCGGCAAGTTTGTTTTTGAATGTTTTGATAATTTAGCTATCAGCAGGTGCAATTTTTGCTCAAGTTCCCATGTCATCACGATCCTGCTATATTTTTGCAATATTGGAACAGGTCGAGGATCATATTCGTCTTATTGATATGACAAATTTGACAAAATTACAAAAAGAAAGTTTTCACATCATGAACTTGGAGAGAAGAAGGTATAGCCCCAAATCATAACTTCATACTGACTACATTAGTGGCACGACCAATACTTATTACTAGGTTTGTTGACATTACTAAGTATCAAACGATCTTTTCAATAAAAATGATGACCTTATCCTGCTGAAATGGTGGAAAATTAACAATTTACTTTTTATAGACAACAAATACAGATCTGTGGATATCAGAGGATATTGTTTTATAGCACCCAGATTAGCAAAAGCACAATTGAGCAAAACATACCTGCTTCTATCTGCTACAGAAAACACAAGTAGAAAACCCTCTCCAGATCTCATATATTGTTCTCTCATTGCACTGAACTCCTCCTGTCCTGCAGTGTCTAGAACTGAAAAATATACAAACATTACAACTTTAGTGTTGTAGTAAGTGAAATGTATACAAACAATATAATTTTAGTGTTGTAATGACTGAAATGTATACAAACAATTTAATTTTAGTGTTGTAATAACTGAAATGTATACAAACAATATAATTTTAGTGTTGTTATGACTGAACTGTATACAAACATTATAATTTTAGTGTTGAAATGACTGAAATATTTACAAACATTATAATTTTAGTGTTGTTATGACTGAACTGTATACAAACATTATAATTTTAGTGTTGAAATGACTGAAATATTTACAAACATTATAATTTTAGTGTTGTAATGACTGAAATATATACAAACATGATAATTTTAGTGTTGTAATAACTGAACTGAATACAAACATTATAACTTTAGTGTTGTTATGACTGAAATGTATACAAACATTATCATTTTGCTGTAATAACTGAAACATGCATAAACATCATTTATGTTGTAATAACTGAATATATATATCTGTTCCCTCAGTTTTGTGATTCTGTGCTTACAGTATCATATACAATGGTCGGCATACCATACACAAGAACATGTAATTGCATAAAATGTCAAAATCCTTGCGATAAATGTCATCTTATCCATTAATTTCTAGATTTCAAGATTAATTAAAGTTATTTTGTTTCACCGAGTAGTATTTCAACGAAAATATAAGGTTCTATCCCATAATTTTTTGGCATAAAACTAGGGGACAGATAAAAGTGTCGAAATGATTGAATCATAAATAAATATTACACATTACATCATTATAGTATTTTTTGTATTAAAACAATTAATCCTGGATATAAACACTATACAGTATACAATGCAAGATTAACCTTTTATATTACATTAAATCAGTTGTGGCGACCATATTTTTTGTTCTTTCCATTGACTCTCATGTTAAATCAGGCTCTGTAATATGAACATCTCCAAACTTAACACTGCAAGAGCAAAGCAAAGTTCACCTTGAAGTTGCTTTACTACACTTATTTTAACACGAGAGGAAGAAAAATATACAGTCAACTATCTTTTAAGAAGTCACATATGCAAAGGGTACAGTATTGAAGCAACGAAGTATGAACATGAACATGACCTTGTACCTTGCAGCTGAAAATCAACTTGCACCCTGTTTAAATGAGAAGTCATGAAAATCCAATTTTGAGCTGTACTTAACAAGGGACTAATTTATAAAGCCTGCATTACAATTTCATTGTAAAGAATTGTTCATTGAAAAATGACAATGGTTTTCTTGGAATAGTACATTAAAAAAGATTCCATAATGAGGTCAATGAGAATACACTAGCACTCAAAACTAGATAACAGCAACACCAAGGCTTGTGAATCCCATCAAACATCTAATGAATGTCAGACAACCATTTTACAAAAAGCAATCTTTCAAGCAAGTTGTTGACAGAAGATATGCTAAAGATATCAACAAAATCACTCTACTGCTTTTCCAGTTATAGAGAAAACTGTAAAATTTACCAAATAGCAGATAACATAAAATATCACACTACCAAGGTTTTTTGAAAATGGCTGCCTGTCATTAGTCGAGCAATTTGCTTTCAAGTAAAAATATTAACAAAATTGCTCTACTACTTTTCCAGTCACATAACAATGGTACCAGCCAAAGTGTCAAGACAGTGTGTGATGCTTATATTGTATTCACATATCAAATATGAACCAAATCACTAAACTACTTATTGATAACAACCATTTTTCAAGATAGCCACCATATATTTTTAAAATTTGATATTGAACTAAATCAATACTCTTTATAATTTTTGCATTAAAACATATTAATATAGTTTTTTATGTTGTTACTAAAATACTGTAAAAATCAACAATTCTTCTAAATCAGCTTCCAAGCAGAACTTGTACCACATAGAGTATATGCAAGTAAAATATAAATGATACTGGACAAATGGTATTTGAGTTATTTCCCGGACGGACTTACATACAGACAAACATACGGATGGACAGACAGAGGGAACCATTCTCTATGTCCCCCTAACCTCATTCAGTGGGATAACAAAGGACCCGACTTAGTACTCACAAGGGAGGTACATTGAGAGGTCTGACTCATTAAGAGATATCACATTCCCAGGTTAGCATGACTCGAAATAGATTTCTAAGTAAAACATTGTTCATGGTGAGTAATACGTTTAAAATTCCAGCTGAGCTCTGAGACATATATACCACTTTAATTAGTCCTGGAGAAACTGACTTAAACATTCTACAGACATCATGAAAGTCTTATCTAGGAAGTAATAGTATAGTAGGAACAAGGGGTTCCCATGCACCCATAAGGTGTGAATAAGTTACATACATTTTTGTAATCCCTAGGGTGTCTTTTTAATGAATCCATTTGTTAACATTGCCAACTAATGTCCCATAGTACTTTTATGGCGGCATTCAGTTACCATGGTTACGCATCTTTAGACATCTTACCTTGGTATCTTAAATCATTTGTAGCTCTGTCATTATTTGGTCTATAGAAATGATATTGGTACCAAATTAAACCTCGTTTAATTTCCAATAAATTTATGATATTCAATTATGCAAATTATCTAATTTGCATAAATTATGACGTCATCAATCTCTTTTTGGTTCAGAATTTCCAACTATAGCAACGTATCTATTAGAACTGAGGCCGTATGGCAAAATTTCTGAAAGGTTTTGTCCTTTATTCTATTAGTAGAATGTATAAGCAACATAAAAGTGAAAACAGATTCAAAATTGAATCAGTATTACGAAAGTTATGTAACTTTCGAGGCAGCTATCGTGAATGTCATTATTTGACAATAATATACATACGTCTTACCTTGGAGTCTTGAATCAAAGTAGCTTCGCCATTATTTGGTCTATAGAGATGATATTGGTATCTGATTAAACCTTATTAAATTTACTATATGGTTACAATATTCAGTTATGCAAATTAGCTAATTTGCATTAATTGTGACGTCATCAATCCATTTTTGGTTCAGAATATCCTAGTATAGCAACATATCTATTAGAACTGAGGCCGTATGACAGAATGTGTGCATAGTTTTGTCCCTTATTTGATGAGTGGAAGATATAAGCAACATTAAAGAGACAACAAATCTTCAAAATTGGATCAGAATTAACAAAATTATCCAGCTTTGGAGGCAACTACTGTGAACGTCATTGTTTGACAATTATAAAAAGAATATTAAATTAACAAAAAAAGTAACAACCATAGTTGTTTCAATCTTATTGAGTAAAAACGTGCATGTATTGAACTGAACTAATAAGTATGTGGAAAGGTTACATGCATTTTGACTATCATTCACAGGGGTCAAAACGGTTATCTCGACCCTGTATAATTAAAGATCCAATCTTATAATTTACCATGCACTTTCAATGATTCATATAAATAGTATACATATAGTCTGCTTTTCATCATATTCTTCATATTCTTGATTCTTAAAGCATCTGAAGTATAAAGCATGATTAGAAGTGAAGATGATTCATTATATGGTTTATGTAATATTTCTAACATTTCAGATGCTATGGTAACATCACTTGATAATGAGGTTTTTACATTTCACGTTCTTAATGAGTTAAAAGGAAGTTATTCTCCCTTTGCTTTAGAGATAAATAGTCACATGAATTTGTTTAGAAAAATTATAACTTAATTAATTTAACCCCCCCCCCCTGACAGCCCCATATTTGAAGATTTTGGTGAAACCTGGCAAAATACATTAATTATTAGGTTCCAGAAGCCCCCAGAAGCTATATGATGGCCCCCAGTAGCCCCAAGAATCTATACAGGGGCCCCAAGTGGCCCCCAGAAGCTATACTGTGCTCCCCAGAAGCTATATGTTGGCCCCCAGAAGCTGAATAGTGGTCCCCAGGAGCTATACGGTGGCTCCCAGAAGCTATATAGGAAACCCTGTGGCCCCCAGGAGCTATACAGTGGCGCCCAGAAGCTATACAGGGGCCCCCAGTGGCCCCCCAGATGCTATACGGGGGCCCCCAGAAGCTATACGATGGCCCCTAGAAGCTATACAAGGGCCCCAGAAACTATACTATGGTCTCCAGAAGCTATATGGTGGCCCCCAGTGGCCCTCGGAAGCTATTTGATGGCCTCCAGAAGCTAATTAGTGGCCCCCAGGTGCTATACGGTGGCTCCCAGAAGCTATACAGGGGACCCCAGTGGCCCCAAGAAGCTAAACGATGGCCCCCAGAAGCTATACAGGAGCCCCAAAAAGCTACATGATGGCCCCCAGAATCTATATGATGGCCCCAAATGGCTCCCAGAAGATGTGAAGGGCCGACAGTAGCCCCTAGAAGCTATACGGTGGCCCCCAGTGGCCCTCATAGGCTATATGATGGCCCCCAGAAGCTAAATAGTGACCCTCAGGAGCTATATGGTGGTTCCCAGAAGCTACACAATGGCCCCCAGTATCTATATGGTGGCCCCCAATGGCTCCCAGAAGCTATAAAGGGCCCCCCCAGTAGCCCCTAGAAGCTATACGGTGGCCCCCAGTGGCCCCGAAAGCTATATAGTGGCCCCCAGAAGCTATAAAGGGGCCCACAGTGGCTCCCAGAAGCTATACGATGGCCCCCAGAAGCTATGCAAGGGCCTGCAGAAACTGTACTGTAGCCCCCAGAAGCTATACAGGGGCCCCCAGTGGCTCCCAGAAGCTATACGATGGCCCCCAGAAGCTATTCAAGGGCCAGCAGAAACTATACGGTAGCCCCCATAAGCTATACGATGGCCTCAAGAAGCTATACAGTGTCCCGCAATGGGCCACCATGTAGCTTTGGGGGGCACTGTATAGCTTCTAGGGGCTACTGGGGGCCCTGTATAGCTTCTGGGAGCCATTGAGGGCCATCATATAGATTCTGGGGGCCATCGTGTAGCTTCTGGGGGCTGCTGTATAGCTTCTGGGGGCCATGGTATAGCTTCTTGGGGCCACTGGGGTTCCCTGTATAGCTTCTGGGTGCCACCGTAT